TCCAGCCACCACCTTGTGTGCGGTTGATTCCCCTAAATACAGCGTGCTTGTGTTTGCCTGTGAAGGAGTGCGGGCCGGCTCCGTTGATGAAACGTGGCTCCCATCCACATGCCTCCCGGTCTTATTCCTTCGGGTTTACACTGGATATGGGATGTGTGGGTGTAGCTGTGGGTGGTGCAGCGCAAGCCATCCATAGTCCCTCAGTAGGCGCAGCCATCCTGTGGCTGGCCACAGTGACATGCAAATCCGAATCCGGATGCCGCCAACCATATATATATATATATATATATATATATATATATATATATATATATATATATATATGCATGAGTCCGCGGCCATTCAAACTCTCTACATTTGCAACCGAAGCCAAATATATGCACCCGTTTTTCTGCAATTTCTTTACATGACCAGCTCAGCTTAGCGCCAAGTCAACCGCAATGTATGCTGGATGCATCAACCCTCTCATTTCCCAAGGTATACGGGCCATCGCCGACGGCACAATACCCCTACTCGCAAGGTTATTAGCAATTGAATCGTTTCCAATGCTCTTACACATATTTAACGCTCAAATAATCCGCGATTACCATGACTCACACAACAGTGACGCGAACGTACGGATTCCACCATTTATGGTATGTTTTCATTACTTTTGTGTGACTCCAAATAGATGATCAACAAATGGTATTTCCTGAGCATGCTTGTACTCTTAAATGAGCTGCAAGCAATCCTCGTTACTGAAACCTGGTACTCCGCTGATATATTACACTGTAATCCAATATCTCCTCTTTAACCCTTTATCGTCAAGGTCGCTGTAATGGAAAAGGCGGAAGATGCTTCATGAAACTCCATCACATATGTACAGCTGAACGGTTGGAACATCCCCCACTGGTAAAGGTCCCTGATTCTCACATGTTCTCCGTCCCAAGAGTCTCGGTTTACTTGCATCTATCCGCAACTCGCCAAATTCATCAACCATGAATGTTGTCCGTATCACCTCAGCTTTTGATTTTGCATCGAAATTGATGCACAAACAAAGGATAATTGTCGGTGATTTCACATACCGAAGATACACTAGCCTCTCCAGACCTTCTTGTCTATACACAGAGCCTACATTTATTCAGTCAGAGTTGGTTGCACACAGTGGGTTACTATACCAACTAGGTTGACTAGCATACTAGACATGATGTTTACATTGGGTATTGCCAGCATACAGAGAGACGTTTCCGAGATCATCTCTGGTAGTGACGGCAACATGATACTCTTAACCATCACGGTTAAAATGGCCACAAAACAATTACTACGCAATACACCAACCGCAGTATTAACTGGAAACCCTTCCGTCAAATAGTCCGTTCTTGGAATCGCTTCTTGATCTCTAACAATACATGCACAACCTTGGAGCACTTCTATCATTAGTTTTAGAAAACCATAACCCTTGTTGCTGCACATGAAAAGCGAACCAGCGACGTTTAGAAAGATGCAGCCGAACATTCGATGAGTCATAAAACCAGCAAACCGACCGCACGCCAAAAACTGATAGGAGATTTTACAAAGATTTCACAGATGCACCGACTCATCTCTTCAAGTAAAGCCTTACAATTGATGGTGAGAACACATGAAGAATGAGCAACCCTACAAATGAGATGTAAAGCGAAAGAGCTGGTCAGATTTCTTTGTCGAAGTACCAACAAACGCTTTTCAGTGTTCCCTGAGTTGGTGAACGACATCCAGGCGCATTTTGCTCTTCCTTCTCCACTTACATGACCCTTGACACTAAGTCTATAACTACATTATGGCTCCATCTAAAGTGCTATTGCTCTGCACAATACCCGTCATGCAACACATTCTTTTCAGCCGTGCTCAGTTCTGGAAGCTGATGTCATCCTCCATGCGCCATGAAACTGGGAGTGTCTGATAGATCACTGCTCCTATTGTTTCCGTTGTGTTTCACTTTGCAGATCAATGGAAACCTTCAGTCATCAGCCCTCACCACAAGGGCTGGGCAAAACAGGAGATGAACAATAACAGGCCAAGCCAAAACACTCCTTTCATGAATTGAGGGTTGGTCACAGCCAGTTCCAAATCAGATGGTCATCTGGTTGGCGGCATCCGGATTCGGATTTGCCTGTCACTGTGATCAAGCACAGGACGCCTGCGCCTACAGAGGGACCATGGATGGCTTGCGCTGCACCACCCACAGCTCCATCCACACACCCCATATCCAGTGTAAACCCGAAGGAATAAGACCGGGAGGCATGTAGATGGGAGCCACGTTTCATCAACCGAGCCGGCCCACACTCCTTCACAGGCAAACACAAGCACGCTGTATTTAGGGGAATCAAGCGCACACAAGGCGGTGGCTGGACCGTAGTCCGCTCCACACTGAGTGCATGGGACCACACTTCAAGCCTAGCACGGCCACAAGGACCGTGCACCCGGTCCCCTCCAACAACGACCAACTGTCTCCTAGAGTTAGTATGGACTAGGCAGTGGGTAATAGACAGGTAGGCAACTTGTCAACATGCACATCAAGCGCAGTCACACCTGGGATGTCAAACAACAGCCAATCACTTGAAATAACATTATCAAATAAAATATATCAGTTAAAGAATACGGCTATGCAGACATAACTCTACCCTAAATTAGCATATGAAGTAAGTTGCTTAGCAACAAATCCACGATAAGTACAAAATGTCCAGAATTCACTCAAAAATGCTACTAACGCAATAAAGTTAACGGAGATAACCACAATTAGCGTAAGCAACGTGGCCATTTACAAGAAGATTAGTCAGATAGGCAGAACAAACAAAATAAAGTGAAATGAAATTTATCCAGTTTAAAAAGACCTAGTTTAAGTGTACGTGGTTTTAGCCCAACTGCGGTGAAGAAGCATCAAGCATGCATCGTCAGCCTCCGCTAGGGCACGTCTACATGCCCTTAAAAGCACTAGGCTGCATCTTCAGCCTCTTGGCCATCATCAGTAGTGCGCATCCATCGGATCCATCTGGATTCGAACCCATGACCACCAACGGCTTGCACCGCCAGTCAGCAGCTTACGCCACTCGGCCATGGGGAACAGCTTCGGACCGTTATGATTTAGAAGCTAATTGCGATATAGTACGTCTAGTTGAATTTTCTTCTATGCACTTACACACTTTGCTTACTCTACTTGTGGTTATCTTCGTGATTGCGTTTGTAGCATTTTGGCATAACTTGTGGACAGTTTGTACGTATCTCGGATTCGTTGCTAACCAGTTTGCTTCATCTGCAAATGTAGCGAAAAGTTATGTCAGGATAACCGTATGCATTAATAGTTTTATTTTATTTGGTAATATCCTTTCTGGTGATTTGCTGTTGTTTGACATCCTTGGTGCGGCTGCGCTTGGTGTGCATGTTGACAACGTGCCTACCTGTATATTACCCACTGAATCGTTCATACTGGCTCCAGGAGACAGTTGGTCATTGCTGGATGGTACGGAGTACACTGTCCTTGTTGTCATGATAGGTTTGAAGCGTGTTTCCATGCAATCAGTGTCGAACAGGCCGCGGACTAGCCGTCGCCTTGTGTGCGCTTAGTTCCCCTAAATACAGCGTGCTGGTGTTTGCCTGTGAATGAGTCTGGGCCGGCTACGTTGATGCAGCCTGGCTCCTGTCCATCTGCCTCCCTGCCGTATTCCTTCTGGTTTACACTGGATATGGTGTGTGTGGATGGAGTTGTGGATCGTGTAGCACAAGCCACCTTTGGTCCCTATGTAGGCGCAGGTGTCCTGTAGCTGGTCACAGTGACAGGCAAATTCGAAACCGGATGCCACCAAACACATGTGCCTCATGCTGAGGCTGATGTTGCATTCGTGATGTTTCTTCAGGGCAGTTGGGCTAAACTAACTTACACTTAACCTAGATCTTTTGGAACTGGATAAAGTTCATTCTACTTTATATGGTTTGTTCTGCCAAATTGAGTAACCTTCTATTGGCTTACACACGTTGCTTACACAGAGTGTGTTTATCTTCGTTAACTTTATTACGTGGGTAGCATTTTTTAAGTAACCTTTGAACATTTTGTACCTATCGCGGATTCGTTGCTAACCAAATTCATATGCTAATTTAGCAGATTTCCGTCGGCATAGCCGTATGCTTTAACAGATCTATTTTGTTTATCAATGTTATTTCAAGTGATTATCTGTTGTTTGACATCCCCCGTGTGGCTGCGCTTGATGTACATGTTGACAAGGTGCCTACCTGTGAATTGCACCGGCTACACACATCTCCATCCACAGTCCCCAGGGCCGCTGGGAAGCAGACTTGAGCGAATGCGGTTGTGAGTCTCCGTTAACTCTGGATGTCTACCCACACTCCTGCTTTATTCACTCTATCAATTGCACACATCGATTCATTCCGTTATCCTCATATCTAAAGTTGCCTCTAACTCCGCCAACTGCTGCCTAACTCAACTTCAGCCGGAAAAGACCATCTATGAAATCGTATTGCATTCCTCACTTTATCAATCTACAGAGAATGTACTGACTAACCCGCTTAATTCCTGGGAGTCTGTCAGTGACATGCGCCATGCCAGCCGGCATTTGGCAGTCGCAATTGGTATTTAAACTCTGTACGTTTCCAGCCCTGACATCAAGACACCAACATTGATACCATGGTTGTTCAAAGGTTCCGTTTCACAGCAGAATGAGTCTGTGACCCACTGCATCCGCTCAGAATGCGTGATTCCCAATGATCTTAGCACACGCCGGGTGAAACAGTTCCGTTTGAGTTTTGTGTATCTAAGCTGTTGATCGGACCTGATTGACACTTGGCGTTTGCTTTTGGTGGGTTAATTCAGTCGGTCACGTGGTTACATGTGATGGAATCGGTCGTTCGGTTCGTTGGACGTGGTTTCTCATCTCTGGCCTGAGCGGCTACTCATCTATATCGATCACAACGGCCTTAAATCTTTAGTGTCCATGGATAATTGCCTCCAATTTTGATCGTTACTCTGTGTTGTCTGGTTGGAACAGCGTACCAATCGATCACTGGAGCGCTTATTTAACTGATCCTCTTTGCCTAAGCGACCGGACTTCAGAGCTCATCCCATGGACTCGGCTCCGCCTGGCAGACATAGCCGCTTTTGGATACCGGACGGTCTCTTTACGTTACCGACTGAAAGGAGCCGTACTCGTCGGGCCCCTCCTCCTTACTCTGTGCGTCGGCGTAGTCTTACAGGTACCGAGTTCAAATCGGGATTTCGTTACTATTCTGCCTCTTTGGACTTACTTCTTGGTCTTGTTCCGATTATGTTCTACATTTACACACCAGAAGCAGGGGATGCTATCACATTCATTGTCCTTTTGTTGATGTACGTTATAATAAGCTCTACCCGTCAGAAACGTGCATCTCGTTATACACAATTGATACCAGATAGATTTTATACTAGCATTACTGTGACAAGGATATTTGGAGGTTTACATTTTAATGTAGTATCGAATATCGAACGTGTCGTGGACGCTGGAGCTGTCAAGTTTATCGATTCGATTTCACCGTCAGACCGTGTGCTTGCTGTTTATGCCTCTACCCATTTACTGTGAACGTTTCTGTGGCATATTTGTATGGAAAAATTCAACAAATTTGGCTAGGCTTTTTATCGCAATTGCTTGCTTCTTCCTAGATATTAGTAGAAACTCATAAATTCTTTTCATTTATCCCCCTTCCTCTCCGGTCGTTCTACTCTGCAACTACAAGCAGCGCAACCTGTGTCGTCCTCCTCACATGCAACCTTTCCGCAGCTGCAGCTGCAGTGGGCAGGTGCTGCTCCTCTTGCTATCGTTGGTTACCAACGTGTTCTGAAATTACTTCGGCGCTATGTGTCCCGTTATGTCGCTGCACAAGCCGAATCTGAGCTCACCTCTCGTTTCGAGGAGCACACAGCAGCTTTGGATCACTGGTTGCGCACCTCACTGGACAACACCGGGTGGCCATCCACTCTAGGTTGGAGGTTGGTTCTGGGATTGCGTGAACGCATGCAATTTACTGTACACTTGGATACTATGTTGAGAAAGTAAGTAGTATTCGATCATTCCTTATCGATTTTGGTTTTCGATTCTGCTTTGTCCATCTGCTAGCTACTCCATCCATCTATCTACCCATCCCATGCATATCTTCATTTTCCCTTCCTAAAATACTGCAGCTGCACTACCTCCCTGGATCTGAGCTATTATCCGCTAGTTACGAATGAAATGGTGTTTTGCCTCGCCTCCCGTTGGCATCATATGACGGAGCTCAGGTTACATGGACTGCACGAAGACCAGGTATCGGTAGATGCGGTGGCAGAAATACACCGTACGTTTGTGCTTGTGCCGTATTCTTTGTACGCGTAGCCATTTTTCTACCTATTTGGTCCGGATGTTGCAATGCGGTTTTGTTCTCTTTTGGACTATTAGCTAAGTCGTATGTAATTCTCGTCGTTCATCAATCACACTAGTGATTTCGGCTGTGTTGGTGTCCCTCGCGTGGACATCAGCCGCCATCAGAGCTTGAGTTATCACTACCCAGCAGCCTAGTGTACGCATTCAATACTGTTACATGATCCGTAGTAATGCGGTGTAGGCCGAGCGGTTACTACTCAACCGTACACTGTAGTCGTTGCAGGAAACTTCTTCTCACTATAAAACATGATAAGTGATTAATTGCTTGGAACCTTAATACGGCCGCTTCACTGCAAGAGACAATTAGGGGTTTGTGGCCAGTTCTTGTTGATTTATCTGGCCTTGCAAGTCTCCGTAGTACACTGGTATTTTGTAGTGACGCTCTCTTACCAAGCTATCTCAAGCGGGTATACGCTGGCTGGGATCCTGCTATAGCGCTCGAACTCATGTGGAAGCAGCGAGCCGAACCCGATGCCCATAGATTGCAAGTCAGATAGGTGGGACAAATGCGCGACGGGTCCGAGGATCTGTGCAACTCGCCCCGTGTCATGTGGTCTAAAACTGCGGGTCATTGCTGCTTCGCTCAGTGACCTCATCTACTTTGCCCTGTTTCACGACGTTTCATACAGATATCGCTTTCTACTTGTACGATGACCGACATCTTGTGGCAGCGTTGCCCTGTGTGGCCTCCTTTACCTTCCTCTCTTACTCTTTTACTTTATTTGAATGTTTGCTGTACATTCAGATTACTTCGTATATATACACCCGTTAATGGTTGTCACTGTCGCAATTTCATTGCTTATAAGATGCTCGTCCTCATTAGTAAATCCCGTCCTAGCTTCTTTGTTTCTATTATTTTCTTACACAGGTCTGCAATACCTCCGTTTTCTCTCTTTGGACGGACTTAGAGCCGTTTGTGATGAAAATATTTTCGGCATCCTTTGTGAGTCCTTACTTGAACTGCCTATATTGAGTTTACAATATCGCCACGTTCAAATGTTGCGCCGTTTGTGCATTCTCCGCAGCACGGAGTAGCATACTACCCACCCGAGTACGGTAGAGTTAGCCTGACAGCATCCCGTCCTTTATTTAGGATAAAG